CTCCTACAGATTGCGTCATTGTTGATTGTACGTCTTCTTAATTCATGATGCTTACTAATCCGTTTTTCCGTAGAACCAGTTCCTGTCGGTCTTCAATATATCATCTACTGCCCCACGTCTGTCTGCTCCTATTGACTACTGGCTACGAACTGCGTATAATCTAATAGTCGCAATCGTCCTGTGAGATCCTTAGCCGTCCGGATCTTACAAGGCTATTTGGCTTGTGTGAACTCAACTCCCCTATTTCTGGTATACTGCACCCTCCTCTGATGCCGATGGTACAGATTTTATAAAGGACAACTTAAGAAAGCCTGCGATTCATTCTCCAAGGTTCCCCATGATCGGCACAACCACCTCAAATTTTTCTCCGTCTCTGTCATCTTATGTCACGCCCGATAATACTTAACTCCATTTTGGGGTACAGTAGCTCCCCTTCCGATCGTTATCACCACCGTGGTGGTGGCTGTCTCATATACTCTGGAAATGAAATGTAGGTTTCCTATTTTGATGATCCACAACCGACGGAAACTTAAGATTCAATTTGGCTCTCGGCCTGTCGGCCTAACTCGCCTTTCGTCATCAAATGTTTATAAATGCATCCATCACACCACTAGCTTGCTCAGCCAAACTTCTTGGTAACTTTATCGAGTCTAAGGTCTGTCTTACCCAAACAATATCCGCGCCTTAATTATTCCATTATTACGGAGCGAATCACGTTTAGTCGCAGTTTTTATGTAGTTTGTGAGACACATTTTTGAGCGTAGCCGTGAATTCGCTGCACAGTATTCACATGCAAGCAGGACTTCTGCGGAGAATGTGCAGCGCTCATTGACTAAGTCCGTGTTTCCGGCGTCATCCGTAGCACTACATTTTTTCTGTCTGTCTTACGAATTCGTTATTAGATACACAGGACTGAGGCTTTCGCCCAAGTTTTCCAGGCTGAATTTGTTCTTGTGGTCCATTAGCTCATTAGCGACGGGCGAGATAAGTGTGTGTGGCTCCCGTTTGCTCATTAGCGACGGGCGAGATAAGTGTGTACACTGCTCTCTGAGTTCTCAGCGCGGGGACTTGAGCTTGCCATCGTAATGACACATATAAAGGAGTGCCAAAAGTGCTTGAATTGGGTGCCAAATATAGTGTTAACAAACGTCGGGTGAAGGTTATTCCACGAACAAACTACTCGGAATTAAAAAAGTTGAAGCTCAAGTGCGCATTCTTGGCTTGAAAATCTTCGCCATTGCTCGTTAGTTGTGTCAACTGTGAATGACTAGTTGGTCAAGGCCTGTTCAAACAGGGCAAAATTAAGCAGTAGTTTTCCCCGGGGGAGATAATCTGAAGGAATAAGGTCAAGGGACGCCAGACGCGTTCTACAACCAACGGATTGAAGGCAGCAGCCATTTTTGTAGCAGCTTGTAGGACACGCTCAATGAATAATCAGGTCGTTCTTGCATCCTGAGTAGACAACCTGGTTGGCATATTCGAGAATCGGTCTGGCTTATGGTCCATGCAAACAATACAGGTGAAGATGAACCAAATCATCCGCGAAACGATGACTGCCTTTTGAGCCGATACTGGATAGAAATGCTGTGTCACTGTAAGCGACGTTTCCTTAAAAATCCTTGGATTAACATCATCCGTTTCCAGAGCCCTGGAGGGGTTTTTCCTTAATAAGAGGTGGCAAGCAGCACGGGTGTCTTGCCCAATGCTGGCGGTTTGGGAGTGGCCCCCAATTAAGGAAATACATCAAAGAGCACTATTATTGGACATTTGTAGCTGCTGGGTTGGACTTGTTCACGCTGTGTTATCAGTCTGGCAACCCGTTGAATTACATATTCGGAAAGCTTACCGCTCATTTCCTCAAATTGCGTGGGATAGCCTGAAGACCTTCTTGGCTTATACTGACGTGTGAATCTGTCGTCACCTCAGAATATGTTGGGGTTGTTCGCACCGATTGCACTTCATCAAGCAATCATAAAACATGCACTCCTCCCCACTGCCCCCGGAGCGGTCGCGTGAAAAAATAATTAAATTGAATGGATTTCTGTTCCCAATCCTCCACTGCCAGCATATATAGCTGGCGCGTTTATATTCTCTAGATGTTGACTACTTGCTCATCGGGGCTGACAGCAGCGACTCGATGATTGGTGATCAATACTCTTACCTTCACCCAGAAACATCCATGTTTGAGTGGGCGGTATGTTAGAAATCGGTTTAGTTTTTCCCTCTTGCAAATTTGTGGAAGTCTTTTCGCTTTTAAATCCATTCACAGCGTACACACGCGTCATCGCTGAATTTTATAACTATTACATAACTTCTAAGAAATAACCCCATTCATTTTGCGTTCACAAGCTATTTTGCATCCAGTCTTAACCATGACAGCGATTTATACCGATTGCTCTCTGCAGCTATCAATAGAGCAGAACGAACGTGGGCGAAGTGGCTGCCTATCGAATGTGAAACGTGATATGCAATGCCACACCTGCGAAGCCTGGTGGCACTCCAAATATACGGGTTTACGAGATGACCAGATAAGCCGATTAGCTAACTCTCCTGACCGGTTTGTCTGCGCCAGCTGCCTCTACATTGAGGGTGCATTGCATACCGCGGCCAACAAGAGAGCCCCCATAACGAACCCCAATCCTCATTACAGAATCCGCTTTGATCGGGAAACTCGACGCAAAACTTGAGCTTCTTTTCAAAGCACTAGAGGACTCAAGCACAGAATGCAGCAACGTAGATTAAAGTTAATAAAGAACCTTTTTTGCTGAACGGGTATCTCGCGCTATCCGTCCAGGGTCCGCTAGGTACGAGGAAATTCATACACTTCTCTGACGCCGCAATAAAGACCACCACAGCGTCTCAGGTGGACAGGCGCTTAAAGAAGGGCAGATTGATAATCTGGGGGCCATTCTCCGGAAAAATCACGCCAAAAAAGCTGGCACAGTCGTTCCTTAGTAGTGTCCTCACTAAGCCTTATCATCAGTCGCTTCACGCAGAATGGTTGCGCCAAAAGGGAAACAAGCGAACAGTTGTGCTTCTGGTCATCCTTTTCTCCCCATCTGCCATACAGTAGGTCTTGGAGCGGGCTGGCAGCATTCGAAAAACCTACATAATGATCAGGCCTCTATCTGAAGGTCGGTTTCTGGGGGCGTGAAAGCACAGCACATCAAATGTAGACGCACAAAACAGGCTAACGCTTGGCGCCAGTTTAGCCGATCCCAAAATCCTGGCCGAGCCGACTGTGGTGATAGCCTCTTGTGCTCCCGAAAGCGTGCCGACGCAACCAACCGCGTCTCCGGACAGCAGTTTTTATTCGTCCACCGCGAACCCCTCGTCCACCAAAGGCAGTGATGCTCTGGAGGAGGCAAACCCCACATGCAAGCAGCGCCCAAAGAACCTGGAGCTATCAAGGCTTATTTCCGTAAGAGACGACAAAGGTGCAGCCATGAACTCCTCACTAAATCCACAGCCTGAGTCAGATGTGCGGGGACAATCAGCGAAGCCAACCTCTAGCTCCACTCTGTCAAAAGCGGTCTCTGCTTGTGGACAAATCCGTCGCCCAGGAACCCGACAGTCAAAGCCACAAACGTGACTACAGCCAAACGGAAAATCCCTCGTACATCCAGTTGGCCACGCCGACCGCCGGCGGATCGGGTTGTCACATAAACACGAAAGAAAGGCGACCTCAGCCAAACAAGCCACATAAGATTCGGCAGATTAGAAAATTGTTGGCCGGCTTCAAGGTGCAGTCCTGCGCAAAAACGAGCCCCATGTGAGCACCACAAAATGCATTACTTCTTGGTGCCTTCACCCAGAGCTCAGGGCCTCACACAGACATTTTCCGGTCAAACCGCGCCAAAGCACCCAAGAATCCAGAAAGGCAAAAGTTTGCCGCAAATCTTTGACCAACAGCAAATATGTTCGCCAAAAAGGCGGTGCTGAAGGAGCTACAAGCAGCAATGGTCGAAACTTTCGCCCACGGCGAAAATCTCCGTTCTCGAATGATAAAAGGCCCGAGTGAACGGGGCTCCCACGGGGCGAAAAAACCATGCAGGCGAAAAGCATCCCCGGAACCCACGACGACAGGGGCTTCAGAGGCTCCTTTGGAGCCTTGGACTCAAATCCCCCGCACTACCATTAGGTCTGCTAACCTCCCCAGTCACTCAACTTTTGGCTTCTCAGGAAGCATAGACAGTGTAGAAATGCCTGTCCACAAATTGTCTCAGCCTTTTCAACAAACTCGGGGATATTAAACAGTCAGCTTGCCATGAAAAACCGACCATAATCGCTGCCACACAGACCTGGCTCACACCAGATGTATCTGACGTGGAGATCTCGATGGACGGTTATTCCATTGTTGTGCTGACTCAGAACGAGGGGGTCTGGTAGGGTTGTTCTGTCCTTACATGTGACCCTACCAATCCCGATATTACTCTCTGATAACTTTTCTGCACCTTTTTGCGATGCATTGTGTCCAAATCCCGCTGCGCGGGTCCTATTATCTCCTCCTCGGTGTGGTCTACTGTAGCCCCTCCAGTCCCCCTGAAGATGACCAATTCCTCATACAAACCCTTGAGAAACGCTCTTTCCACTACCACTTCATGCATCTCCTGCTAGTAAGTGACTCCAACGCACCAAAGGTCTCCTGAACGGTGCTCCGGCGTGTCGAATGAGGCGGACGTTTTGCAGCGGCGCTGATTGCAGTCGTTCAACAGAGCGCTTGGACTCAACATGTCGCTGCACCCACCAGATACCACGCAGGCCGACTAACATCCATCCTGGATTTGGTCGTCACAAACGGAGGACCCTTGGTTGATCAGGTAACGATTACCGATCCACTGAGACATAGCGACCACTTTGTTCTGACCTTCGATTTCATCCGCTATCGGGCCAGAAATCCCGAACCACAAACGTGTTTTCGTGATTTCTGCCGCGCAGACTTCTCAGAAATGCTCACCTTTCCTGAACAAGTTAAAATGGGACCAACTTCAGTGGAAGAGTCATACAGGACCGTTGTCCAGAAAGTTCACAAGGCTGACGCGATATTCATCCCAAGAAACCAGCACACAGTCGGATGAGCCGCAGGCTGCCGGAGAGGGTTCGGCGACTTCTGGTAGAGGCGTCCCAACGTTTTTCAAAAAGTCGACTATAGGAGATACAGAAGATGGGCTGGCAATTCGTTAAAATGCGAACCGCTGTCAATCGGAAATCCGCCAATGGAACATACGAAAACAAGTCACCATTATGGACCTTGCTCGGAAAAACAAGAACACACTGTTCAAATACATGAGACATTGCCGCAGAAACAAGCCATCCGCGTTCTCCTTGAGGGACAGGAGCGGAGAACCCACGAGTGACCCAACAGTGGTAGCTGAGGCTTACAGAGAACAATATGCAGGTCTATATTCAGCCCCAGCGTCCTCGTCACATTCACTCTTGTTAAGGCGTTACTACGAACAGCCCCTAACCGACTTCGTCTATTGTGTCATGCAAGGTGATGGAACGCATTCTGAAGCGAGCTATCTTAGATCACCCCACTTCCAGCAACCTGATATCTCCAGCTCAACACGGATTTCTCCCACACCGCTCTTGCGTGACACATTTTTCGACTTCTCAAGAGCATTAGTTGAGTCCAACACATCCCGCTGTCCCACAAACTCGAATCCTATGGGATTCAAGAAAAAATCCTTCGCTGGATCAAGGCTTTGCTATCAGACAGATCATTCTGAGTGAGAATAGGCTCGACCTACTTCCCCCCAGCGCCGGTCTCCATTGGAATTCTTCAAGGCTCCATTCTGGGATCACTGCTGCTTCTGATCTACGTCAACGACCTCCCAGATGTTCTTGCAGGTCCATGTCCACTTTTTGTGGATGACTTGAAATCCTGGAGTTCCAATGTCAGTGCCCTCCAAATGGATGCAGACCCTGCGAAGCAGCAGTCGTTGGACTGACACCTTCCTCTGAATGACGAAAAGTGCGTCAATAAGCCATTGGAGGAGACCCAGCGAATGCCTCTGTTATGTATGGTGAGAACGGACCAGAAAACATCATGAAGACAGATGCCAAAAAGAATCTGGATATCTGGGTCCCCTCAAACGTTTCCTTCTTACTTCTCCATGAGAAATCGGCCCAAAAGGCATCTGCCACTTTGCACCTTCTTCCGTATCACTCACATGGAATTCCAAATACTCTACGGGGACTACGTCAGACCGCTTCTTGAATACGCCACCCAAGTTTTCTGCTCAGGACGCACGAAAGACGTCACCCTCACTGAGCGTGTCCAGCGAGCCGCTACGAAAATGGTTGTCGGCCTCAAATCCGTGGACTACGATACCCGTCTCGCGACGCTTGATCTCTTCCCCCCGTAGTATCGTCTCCCCCCGAGGGGACGTAATTCTTACTTATGCTCTGTTTGAACAAAGCTTGACCAACAGATTTTTACGAACGGACGACGAGGACAAGGTAAAAAGATTTTCAAGCTTGAGGCGCACACATTAATTGAGCGGAATTTTTTCCCATTTCGGGTAGTAACGGCGCGGAATAACCTTCCTCCGACGGTTGTCCACGATCTATCTAGAACCCAGTTCAAATCGCAACTAGACAGTAATTTGTGCGAATCCTCGCGCTGGCAAGCATACTGCCCTGTGCTGAGAATATAAAGAGAAGTGCTATACCCTTTTTTTCTCACTTGTGCCTTCCAGGTGAACGAGAGCAGCTGAACGACAAGAACAAAACCAACCCGGGAAACTTGGGCAAAAGCCTCACTCCTGTGTATCAGTCAGTGAATCCGTGAGCCAAACTGGTCCTTGTCCCCTATCTCGAAGCTTCTGTTTCTATCGGTCCGTATTTGTCGGCTGTTCCTTATGGCACCACTTCTTCTCACAACATGGTCCTTCTGATGGGACTCTAACAGAGCTAGGACTAGTACGGATCTCCCGTAATTACTCATACCAGCTTGGTCAACGGCTACCTACCATGCTGTTTACCACACTGGCTAACTTCCCACAATACCAAGTGTTTTTACGCAAATGCTCCCTCACCCTTGTCTTACGTTTGCTGATCCACTGACGCTCAGTTTTAAAAATACGAAGCAACTGTTTAAAATCAACACCGGGCTCTTACACCACTGCTTAAGCGAATTTTATGGTCACCGAACTGAAGCATACGTGTACTGGTTTGTTCTGTGCCCCATCTACAGTAGTGGTCTAGCTACCCCAAAAGCTGCTTCACCAGGAGTGTGGCAAAGGAACAAAAATAATAACGCCGGTTTGAGTACACGACTAGAAGGAGGTTTCATGGAACAGATTCACTAAGGAATGTTCTCTTTAAAATAGTTCGTCACTGGCCCAGGTGAGCGAATGAATAATAACCCAGCCATAGTTGTCAGAGCATCTTCTTCTGAACAACCCTGGCATATAATAGGTTTTGAATATAGTCTAAAATGTTTTGATACTAGAGTTAGCGCATGGAACTCGCAAATGACCGCTGTAGGCGCGGGAGAAATCAGAAGAGAAATTCGAAGCAGGTGACCACGTTTGTATCGCGTGTAATTGTACAAAATGCGTTTTTTTTGTAGTTTTTCGTATTTAAACAAAAGACGTTTTTTCAACTCATGGTATGCGTAGTGTTATAATGGAAGCAAAGCAAAGATGCAAAACACCACACTACCACACCGAAATAATATTTGCAGGCTTAGCCGGTCCTTCATTGCTGGTTTACTCGGATAAATACATCATCATCCTGGCTCATTGAACCACTTGCGGTCATCAACCTAGAGGCAACAAATTTTAATTTATTTTCTGTAAGTGGACCATATGCCACCTGAAACTCGTGATACATATCAGGATTCACTGTATCCATCTCATGCCTCCCTCATCCCAAGTTTCGCTTTTCGAAGGTAGCTGCTTCAGTCTCCCAATACGGTGACTACCCACCTCGCCTGGAACCTGATCTACATCCACACAGACCTCTAACTTAACCATTTTTACCTGTGATCCTATATCGGCGTTGTTTCACCTTCGTGCTCCTCTTCCCTAACCCAAAGTATCGCTGCCCACAGAGTTGCACATTACCGGTCAGATTAACTCAACCATTACGTCCGTTACAGATCGGCCAAGACACCTACGTTTGTCAGTGCAGTAACGGCACGGCACTAACATACCCAGTTTTATACCACAATTGCGGCTATTCGTTTCATCCTCTGGTCTGCTCCATCCCGTTCCCTAGGAACCCTGGCTGCAAATATGGACAAACCGTCTGCCTGCAAATAACAGCAGCTGCGACGAGGTTGTGCTAACTCACTCAGAGCTTTTCTCTGAGTGAACCATCTCGTTGCACTTCTAATTTATCCCCCCATAAAGCCAATGATTTTCTTTACTGTTCACGTTCCTCCTGTGCATTAACAATAACTCACTTTTAAACCAACCCTGTTCAAACAGTGAAGTCAGTTAGTCTGTGAAGTTCCGCCGTGCACTGCGATTCCGAAATCCAAGCTACCATTTATCCGTACTGCAAAATTGTTCACTTCATCATCTCCACCTTTCTTAACACTTGCCGTAGACTCAATTGCCCAAGCTCACGCTGGGGCGGCAAGTATTTTCAGTTTCAGTTCAAATTAGCTGGTTTGATTAATGAACTACGTCTGCTCTCCAGATTTGTTGTTATGGTTTCTTTTTTACCGCGATGTATAGTCCTATGTCCCATACCGGACCGGATTCTCCGTTTTGCCATCCCCGTTGTGTTGATGCCCGCATTCTTCGAAGTGTAGCTTTAGAACTTGATTCGGATTGATATGTCCTGTTATGGCAAAAAGCCATGATGGATGTGTGATCCTGTTCTCAGTGTTCAACACGTGCAGATTGTGCCAGTTTAGGCGTGACGGCGTCTGCATAGGATAATCCTCAATATATGTGTGCTTATCCCTGAGATCAGCCGAGCCCTCATTTTGACTGTAAGATTATGATCCCGCCAGATGATATGCCCCCATAAACAGGAAATAAATATTACTCATATTAATGTCCGTGGAAAAATGATTATTAGATGAATGAATAAAGTTGAATTGAACTTTGAAGAGTATTGGAAATTACTCATATAATGTCCGTGGAAAAATGATTATTAGATGAATGAATAAAGTTGAATTGAACTTTGAAGAGTATTGGAAAGTTCAGCAGCAAACGGTCCCCTCTCGTTCACCACGAGACGAAGAGGCGACCAAGTTGTTACCACGATGTGATTGTGTGGTGGCTGTGAATACCGCTCCGGACGATACTACGATATTTGCTTTGAACGCTCCGCTAGACATTATATTGCCATACTGTGACCAGCTCGTACCTACAGCTGCGCCGTCTGTTGGTAGAATCTATCAACTAGTGCATCATGAAGTCTTTCATCGGCCCTTCAGCTACACTCTTAGTCTCTCCTTGTTCGCGCGCTGCCTGAACACAGCAGAATCCTCCATGCTCGACTGCCTCAAACCTCCTGGTAACACTGGCAACCTTCAAAAGTACACCCTAAAGTGCCTCGTCATCTCTTATTCCAGTCACGGTGCATGAAGGACAAGCAATTTATCACTTGCTGACGTATTATGGCATTTCGATTACTTAGATGAGCCATGCAGTATGACACACTTCAAGTCCTAAGTTCTGAAACATACATAAGTGCTACATCCATGTTCTTCTCTGATCTGGCCACCTAGTGCGCGTGCGCGTGTGACCGTAGAATGCCCTCATCCTTTTGCTTTGAATTATTTTGCTTTACAATCCTGGTCAGCCACTAGTTCCTCAGAACAAAGGAACGCAGCAGCATTTCCATGAGCTATACCGGAGGTGTCAAATTTCCACGCCAGACCGGGCGGATGGTTATTCCCATAGAGGTGTTCATTTAGGGCGTCCCAAAGTGCTTTGGAAAAATCTTAGTGCCTTATCGATATAACGTCCCCAAGGGCTGTACGGCATGAGACTATACAGGATGTAGATATTCTAATACCACTTGTACGCAGGAAGAGACGAACTTCACCGTAGGAGTCTACGGAATTCCGAAAGTTATGAACAATGCTCAACGAAATCGGAATAAGCGAAGAATGTCTCCTCCCGCCAACGCAAAGGCCGGGATCGAATGTTGGCACGCTTCAATGCTATTCGACGCATCTCGCCTATTAGGGGCGCTGTCAGAACAAAGGAATGCAGCAGCATTTCCATGAGCTATACTGGAGGTGTCAAATTTCCACGCCAGACCGGGCGGATGGTTATTCCCATGGAGGTGTTCATTTAGGGCGTCCCAAAGTGCTTTGAAAAAATCTTAGTGCCTTATCGATATAACGTCCCCAAGGGCTGTACGGCATGAGACTATACAGGATGTAGATATTCTAATACCACTTGTACGCAGGAAGAGACGAACTTCACCGTAGGAGTCTACGGAATTCCGAAAGTTATGAACAATGCTCAACGAAATCGGAATAAGCGAAGAATGTCTCCTCCCGCCAACGCAAAGGCCGGGATCGAATGTTGGCACGCTTCAATGCTATTCGACGCATCTCACCTATTAGGGGCGCTGTAGATGACTGTGTAGAGTGAGCGATGACATTCAGGATTTTTGAGTGAGCAACCCATTCAAGTGCTTGTATTCTGCGTGCCTAAAAGCGTAACTTCTGCATTACTAGATGCTGTCGCCAGTCGGTCGCACCCTCGGAGCAGGCGGTTGTCAAGATTTGTGGAGATGTCCTGTGGGAACGCGGAAGCAAATTCACTTTGGCTGACAAGTTAACCAGCAACCCAAAATCAATGGGTGGGAGGAACTCTTGCCTAATTGGGAACTGATCGCAAAGGCAGAGTTGGTGGAAGCAGAATACAGAATTAACCTGCTTCAAAATAACTATAGCACACTATCTCCACAGACGCGGTAAAAAATGGGCCGACCACCACTTTCCCTAGTTTTTCATTTTTCCCTCGTAACAGTTCAAACCAAAGCCGTGACCGAAAACCATGGAGTTCACTGACATCCGGTCTCTAACATGTGAACGAACTATTTGAACTTTTTGGGGCGACTCGTGATTCTATTGTCATAGCGCATCCCCGCGCACAATTTTAAACTTAAAGCTATGTAACCGAAATCTGGTCGTCAATGCACGCGAAAGTACAGAGTACTGGTGAATACAGAAATGGGGGCTTTTTGACAAAATTTGCATCCACCGAAACGGTACACGATAATTTTGGAACGATAATTTCCTCAGCTCCATAATACAGGTTACCCGCACTATACCAGTAGAAATACCGCATCAAAGAAAATCTCACAAGATGTTGACGTTCAGAAAACAAAACCAGAAAAGAAAGCATTGGCGGGTAAGAATGTTTCCAGTGCCTTTTCAATGCCTCTTCATTGCTAACATGAGGGTTTTTTTCACCAATTGTTCCCGTGGATGTACGATGGTTGACGGTACGCTTGCGACTGTGAAAACTAAACAAGTTTTTGTCGAGAAAGACTGTGCTGGGCTGATGCTATTTCCACACACTCGGATACAATTTATCGATAGTTCGTCACATACAAATTGGACTTGCGGGATAAATACCTCATGTTCGACTGTATAGTTACACGAAGTCGCTGAATGGCGCTCTAGGTATCACTCATTTGTCTCAATACCACCACCATCACATGCATGGCGAGACCGTGTAATTCGCCGGGGATTATATTTAAAAAAGCGTCATACCTTACGCAAAAACGCGTCTTTGCGTCGCTCTCCGCGAAAGCGACTGGAACAAGCCCTTGAAAACGCTGTTGCAGTGCAAATAAACCAAATTAAGGTTCTATTAATTAATAAAATCCTACGGAGCCTTTAATAAACTCCTCGTAAGTCACAAAAATGAAAAGTGGAAAAGTTGTGGTAATAGTGACATGAACTGTGCTGTCCGTCTTCCCATTTTCTATTGCTATTGGTATCATATAGCACAAACCTCCGGCGATATCGTGGAAGGAGGTGTAAGTACCTCGGAATGATTGTGGTAAGGTAGCACTAATTAGTGCTATCTTACCACAGGGGACTTACCTCCCTTCCCAGTCCACTTTTATTCTTTTCTTTACAGTAGGGTTTTTGAATAAACCATAGTCGTACTGCAGTAAGGCATAGGTGTTGAACACTGATATCGTGCTGTTGATGATGATGAGGAGGAGGAGGAGAAGGAGGAGGAAGAGGGGGAGGATGGAATTTTAACCGGCATAGTTGAACAAGTAAAGCATGCACTCGATCAGCTGATTACTAAAAACAGTCGGATGGGACCTAAAAAGGGTTCTTAACACCGACGACGTACGAAACATTAAAAGGATCCAAACGAAAAGAGCCCAATATCTTGTAACAGTTGGAGTGAAAATTACCCTAGTTGCTAATTTCTGACAGCAATGTCGGAGGTTACAGAGAATCGATGCGGAGAGTAGCCTGACGGATACGCAGAGAATGGATACAAATCATGAAGCGTTAGACCCATTGTTTATACCGCAGATTTAACCACTTTCTTGGGTAAGCTGTTGTGGAACAAACGCTTGAATCAACGCGTCCTTCCTTGCCTCAAAACTACAGGGCAGTCAGGCGAATGAATGTCAGCAGGACGACAACAAACGCACAAAGACAAAAGTAGGTGCTATTTTTGGTAGGCGGATTGTATAATCCGTCTGGAGCTTACACCGCAGAATGCCTGTAGATGCGGAGGATTGCGTCAAGGTGATACCACATTTATTTAACTGACGAAAAGAAATCTTCAGCATAACGTGGGCGCAATTGCTTTGCTTTGTCACGCAGTAACCAGCAATGTAAGGGCGTTCATCGTTTAGCAAGTGGAACAGCTCACTTCGTCACAACGAAAGTGTGGTGATCAGAAACAACCGGAAATTTACGGGACACAAGTGATGAGGCCAACAGAATTTTCTCACGACACACTCAACACATGTAGAATGAGCATATAGTCAATCAAACTTTTTTCAGTACGGAGTAAGCTGCTTGTAATGGTGATTTCATGCTCTTCGGAAATATGATGGTAAAAACAACATAGGAAGAAAGCGAACATCAACTAGTAGAAGCGACAGAATTAATATACTTTAAGTAATCTGCGGATTCGATTAGTCAAGCTGGTACAGATGCTGTACAAACGAACTAAGCATCTGCATTTCGAGTGCATGGTGGTGAACCAATTCCATCCTGACAGAGAAGCGGTAAGGACAATCTGCCGTCGGGTCAACTACACAATATATTCGTCATTATTTCGTTAATTTTCTGCTTTTGATTGGAAAATGTCACAGAAAAGCGAATATACTAGTTTTATCCTGCAAAACGTCAGACGATTCCTCTCTTGGATAGGCGTACAACGGGGTACTTTCTTTGCTCACCGACTTCCGAAATGAAAATGAAAGATCTGTATCTTTCAAATCTCGCCATTTACAACTTTTCACTTGTGTGCGGTATAGCATGTGAATTAAAGTTCCACGGATTTAACTAGTCATTTGTAGCATTTAGGTTGGTCAGTGAGACGGACCGCATAACATTCAACACAAATTTCATAACAATGTTATCTTCATCCCTGTAGACTTCTATAAAATAACCAATAGAACGTAAGCACTGCTTGGGTAGTTGTGATGATGGGTGATTATACATGCTGTAAATATAGAGTGCAAAAAACATCTCTAATACTCGGTCAGGGATAGACAGATGTGAAAGATGTCGGACAAAATAATTTGATCTTGAATTTGAAAGCCCAACCCATTTTTATTCAAATTCGATCGGTTCTGCAATATAAGTTCTTGGTTTGTGGATACTTCCTATCCAGGTTGCTTGAATGAGTGCTTTGAGGTCAATTCACCTTGAATTGATTGTAACAAGCTAGAACTGAGTACTTTTTCCGCCAAATTTTATTTTCTTCTCCACAATGAGACTCTCAATTGAACCATGATAGCATGAAAGCGAAGCATCAGTGTTGAACACTGATGTTAAGTTGTCCATGATGGTGATAACATTCTAAAGATGTAAAAAGAAAAGCCTGAGGCAAGCGTATAAGCAGCATCCGGGCTACAACTGCGAAGGAAAAATCAAACGTCGCACAACAATGTGAAAAGCTCTCTCACGGATAAACAAATAGCAGGAACCTTAAGTGTAATCAGAGTTACAAGACAAAGATATTGAGGCAATTATTCAGCGACTAACTTGATTAACCCCCTAATTAAGCAACTTTTTAGCGGACTTTTGTCGACGTCTTTCAGATTTAGAGCAATCGCTCTTGACGTCTTAAAAGTTTATCGCACAATGTTCTGATAGGGTTGGTAAAACGCCACTTAACTGCAATTCACCGCCACTTTACTGTGTAACGTTAGTGAATCGTGTCTACAAACATTTGCTTTGGATAGAATGCACACAGAATTCCGGTGAGGGTCTTCAAAAGTACTGGGGAAACGTTAGATACTGAATGGGGCATCGCGGTCTATATATATATTATGACACCCGCACTCAGTATCCAACGTTTATATATATACTTTGGTGCATTCTTAGATGATTTGCGGGTGAATGTTTTTCAGAGGCTGTGTACTGGAGTAACAAACTCTTCGTTTCCAGGGCGATTTGTGTCATTATGTAGGGTCCTGTTGGTGGTCACTATTACTGATCTAGTGGCTTATTATCAAAGAAATGAATTAATTTCAAACCGTAGGAAGTTCTTTGACAGATAACATTGGGTCCCAGGACTGGATAAAATATCTGTTCTTGAGTCAGACCTTATCAGGTCAGAAAAGCTGAAAACTACTTGCGCAGAGGTTGGTAGACAACGGACACATGGGTCTCAGATGTGCCACATTGAAGTTTTAAGGACGTATTTTTTTATAGAAAAAATGGCCAATTTCGTAATGGTGAAGTACTCTGCCTTAAGTCGGATAAAACACAGGTGAGACAATCAAGACAATCAGGATCTTGGAATTCAAGATGAGGGAAAACATACGTTTTATGAGTCGATATCATACACGTCATTTGGAAGACCGTTACAAACTCCAGTCTGTTTCACAAACTTCTGTGTGGCATTTGTCACCAGCTTTGTCATTGACAGCAACCGCGGAGGACAACACTGCTATAAAACAATGTCAGCTCATTGAAGAACGCCCTATAAAGAAACGATGGAAAAATAAGAAAAAATAAAGGTGAAACTTGGCTTTGGTAGAAACGAATTTGCCCGAGATGTCTCCCTCAAATGTGCCATTTAAAAATTACAATTTTCTGAGACACTACTCACATGCCTTTACGTTTTTTCGCAAAAATACGAACACTTTAACACTGAAAGTTTTGCGATTTCCCTTTCTCTGTTAGCCCAAATATCATCCGGCAGAAATCAAGATGACACTCACTACGCAGCTGTTGAGACTAACACGTCACGCCCAGGTGATTCGCCGTCAGGGAACTCAAAGAAACTGCTGAACCGGAGAAGAAACATAAGTGAGAATCGAATTGCAGGTAAATATGTTATGGAACATGGAAGAGATGTAACTGAGCGCACATATCAGAAAAGTTCCAGTAACGACCGGCAGTGGAAGTTCTAGTGAGCATCGATAGATAAGATTCCAAGGTTAGTTTAAGTTAACGAAACCTATAGATGGTAATGTGGTGAAATATCGATAGCTCGGGTGAGTTAATTGGTTGTTGATCAGGTGGCTGTTGATCTGTTTGCCGAGCTTGGCAATTGGCTTGCAAACGTTTCGTCAGCATACAAGGAGACACCACCATACGGAAACACATCATCATCAGCTGCGCACTGATGATGTCTCCTCGTATGGCGACGAAAAGTTTGCAAGCCAATTGCCAAGCTCGGCGAAGAGATTAACAGCCACCTGATCAACAGCCAATAAACCTATAGATAGATTTCCCATGAAACGCAACATGCATAGTTTGGGGGTACGTAGCCATATGAGTTGCGGTGGCCCTTCTTCTGAAAAAATTGCACAGGACCAAGATTCGTCCCATCATTTTGTACCAGTGGACCAAACGACGTTAATTAAGTCGACATCAACAATTATAACGTGAATCATTTGATAACAAATGCTAAATTATAATTGCGGAACAGCTTTACATCGGATTGATCGGGTTTTCTTTGGATAATATAATTTTTTAAGAAAGCACAAGATGTTGTTGGAGCTAAAAATAGTTGTTAGTGGAGGAAGTCGGTACTTTCCAAAGTGAATTACACCAATCAGGTAAATGCACTCCCAGTAATGAGCCAACGCATACAGATTAACTTGCAATCACTGGAGCCTCAGTACTGTTTTGTCACATGGTACTCAGTATCAACTCCCTGTAGACTCTATGAATTAGATAGAAACAAAATACTGGAATATCGTCAATTACTGCGCGTTATTTCCCAACCAAGCACTGCAGAACTTATAGATGCATTTTTAAAAAAAGAGGTCTCTGTCCACATAGCGTGGATGAGTTAGTGTACCGGGGGGAAGAGAAGACAGCCAACCCACCACTTACGGTAGTCTACTGATTGAGTAGCAGACAGTGTTTGTCCTTTGTCACGCCTATGCACCCGAACTTCACAGCTGATATTTCTCAGTACCACCCGTCCACAGGTGTCTTTTTATGCACACAACATTCCTCTGGACTTTTAATCTCAACATCCTTCACATGGGTAAAGTCGGAAGAGTTGCCAATGTCTTTGCATTACTTCAGCCTTTTGGATGGGGGAAAAACCCTCCGTCGTTAAGGTGTATGTTAATGACGTGCTAATCTAAACTAGACGTCAGCTGATTTGTGTGCGGTGTCTAGATTCCAGTCCACTTATTTTTGTGGGTGTGACAATATTTGACGTCTGTCAAAGGTAATTACACGTTACTGAGACCCAAAGTTCAGACCCAAATTCCATACACGAAGTGCCGGATCCTTGCACGTGTACATTCCTAAATTTGATGAACCATTATGACAACAAATTAAAAGAAACCACCCAGGATCTTCAAAGTCAGATCTTGCTGTCGCACCTACCATTTGAAAAGGGGAAAATTACTCTACCAATGATCAATCCAAAAAATTTGGGTTCGTCAAGTGAATAGCACTTTCGACAATATGGATCGAACTTCCGTACAAGATCCACAGAACCTAATCAACAACGCATCTGAGGATAGCACATTTCCAATGGAACTGGATGTGTTGTTTGGGTAAAGTAAAAACAGGGAGCACTTTATAATTATGCAGCCAGGATGGAGAAACTTTCGAACAAGATACTGTTACAGCAACCCCAGATGGATCAACAAATAAACTTCATCCAAAGCTCGTCAAAAAGTGGAAGAACACGGCAGCACGGCCGAATTGAGAGAAAAAAGAAAGGTGCGCAACGAAGACGTTAAAGAAGAGGGAAGCGCGAGCGACAACCCTAACACGAAAAGTAAACAGATAGGCGGATATTGGCCCCCTACTTCGAGAAGCTGCAAGGTTGGTTCAACCTAGTAAAATCATAATAACTAAACAAATTCCAAGAAAGGATCTACCGAATGAGGCGAAACGAATGAGTCAAACGCTGTTTTGGAGGAACTGAAGAAAACTCTCCTTGTAAGTAAACGAAAAGAATGTTACCATAAGAAGACCTATTGTTCCTGGTTTCAATGAAAGAGGACCAAGGAGGCCACCAATACAAACTAGATGACATGCAGATTCTGACACTCATGGTTACAGAGTAAGTGAAAAATACCCTGGAAACATGCATTCTACAATCACTTTACAAACGCAACCTGACACAGTATGCAAAGCTGCGAGCGAAAATATCGATAAGTCAATCTGAGAGTTCGGACGAAACCGGATGCCAGGTGAACTGAGTAGCTAGCGGAATCAGCCTTTGAACTAAGTGCGATCAGCGAGGTCCAGATCAATGATCACCTATTCACCAACCAATCAACCAACTAACTCCACTAACCATTCAGAAAAACTAATAGTAACCCAAGGTCAGCTCCTGGTCAGCTGAACCCTGGGTGGAACCTTGTTCAAGGCCAACACACCGACGCACCGCTGGGCCATGAGGCACCACTATACCGCTACACACTGATGATGTTGCCATGTTTAGTGGCAAAAACTGTGCAACGAAATTCAACGAATAGCTAAAAAAAACGTCAGTGTTTCGTTTGTTTTCGGCAGTCAATACATACAAAGTATGCAGTCCTATTAGTGCACAGTTGGCGACAGACATAATACAAACCAGAAGGTGAATGTGCACTAATAGAAGTTTTTAACATGGTTGCGACACGTATAAAAATGAATACAATGTGAAATGGGAGCAAGTCAAAAGGGGAACTTGTCGTATATGAGAGTCCCTTGGTGGAAGTCCGGACGGCAGGAACGTGTTTTTCTCCGCAGTTCAACTGCTACATCTACCCCATGGTTGTCCGTGGACTTGTGGAGAGGTTGACGTCCTTCTCCCTGCGCGTGCGCGAGTCTGTGTGTCTTGACTGGGTTCGGTTTGCCTTTATGTAGGTCCCAGTGCGTGTATGTGGGCGCGTCGGCACATGAGTGGTTGCTACGCTGACTAGGCGGTGCAGACAATCGACGTCCGATGTGTCAGCTTAATGCGACGTGTTTGTGCGTATGAGAGAAAGACAAGCCTCGCGACCCAGTGAACGACTGTGAGTTGAACAGTCAAGTATGTGGGTGACTGGGTAGACAGTCCGCGTCTACTCATGAGTAGTCAGTCTAATCGATCAATTGAGTGTCAAACCCATAACTGGCAACCCATAACGAGCAATTGAGCTCGTTCTCTCCAAGTAGTTTTCCGGTTTCAGAACAGATAATTCTCCAAGTACTGATGTACGAAGGGTCACGTGAAGTGCGGCAATGCCAGTGCAAAGAAACAGGGTGAGGCTTATTATTTATCGCTGGTAAGGTTACCGGAGGCATCGTTGCTTTAATTAGACTTCTTATCATCTGTTACGCTGCAACCATGAGTCGGGGACATATTTTCGTTCTAGATCACTGATAAAAACGGAAGCAACTTTAACATCCGGTGTTACCAAAGTCCTTATAAGCAAGCTGTTCAGACCATCTGTCCTGGAACCTGTGTCAAACTGTTTGGTCAGGGTAGACCGGTGTATCGTGTAGTGGGATGAAATCAGAACTGTTTAAGTCGGCGTTGCACGGTGTGTTTCGGAATCTGGTGTATGTTTCATACAATCCCATTAGGGAAGTGGTGACTCAGGTATAAATTTACGCCAGATTATGTCGGAATTAGAACCCTACACAAACATCTTATTCGCTTGGCTGATCTTTTTTGGTAGGCGATAGATGTCTGTTGTTGAAATCCACGTCTCTTTGCTTTGAACCTATTACAGACAGAACTCAGACCAATAACGCTGAACGGAACGCTATTTTATCCCGTATGCGAAACCAGAGCGAGAATCTGAGAACCATCAAAGTAAGTTAGGTTACTACATGCTGTAATTTATGCCTTGTAATTGATCTACCAGGGTTCAATAGTGTAGCACATACTCGCAGTTCATCAATAATTAATACATTTGATTATCCGTCAACCTATTTATCCCCTCCGCTTCACAGATATTCAAACCTACTGGAAGGAAACTGGCCTTCAAGAATGAAGAAGATCGCTTGTTATTTGAAAAACAGCGGACTGTGGTATGATTTGCATGTTTAAACCGAAGTCCCTCCCAAAAATGTCACCAGATTGCGTTCGTTGCATGAGAATTTTACGATTTAAACACACAAATTCCCTCTGGTTTATATAATTGAACTTAGGATACTAGCTATTTGAACATGTCCTCTTGCCATATGAACTCAGCATTCTCGAATTCATGATGAGTTCAGATACTTCTAAATTACAGACATGTCTTCCTTCTTTTCACGCTAGTATGATATTTGCTAGCCGATCATATTGTCGATCGACATCGTCATCATCGGCAGCATGACATCAGTATTCAAAACCGCTGCTTCACTGCCGTACAACCATGATTTATTTGATCCTGTCCTTGGTGAAATGAGTGTGCTTCGCTGAAGTTGGAACCTGAGCGAGGAGACTAGCTTGCACTTTAAAGTGTACAGTTGCCTTCAAGAGGAAACATTTTTGAGACAAAACTGACTGATAGTATATGTACCTAGGTTGCTCAAAACAAGTGTCACAGTAGAAGAAATGCCTGCTGCTAACGGAGCACACAGCTGAGTTTCTGCTGAATCCATCATTTATTATGTTCCGAAACTGGATGTGTTGCACAAAGGCCCCGTTTTATTTTTCATTTGTGATGACATTCGAGATATCGAGGCATGTTCCGTTGACTTAACGTACCTATAGGGATGCTAAAAACTTCTCAGTGGTCCTCTACAGTTCTGGTCTTCTCGGGACCAATTAGGCGGACTTACTCTTTGCGTTTCTACCACCAGCACAGCGAATTACAGTCGATGAATTATACACGACTGAGAATTAAGCTGATTCTAACGGGAGATTCACCCGAACCATAGCGGAAGAATAGTGTAAATGGACAGTTTCAGATCTACCCGAGATTGAGCTATATACTCCAACGGATATAGTTAAACTGGTAATTGTGAATAGGAAGATTTATCACCAAAGAATCGATGCATCTGAAGAAGAAAATCATTGCATCTCTTTCAAGTAGCCTTGATAAAATTAATATTCACAATGCTGTAACGATTATAGAAGATTTTTTAGTCTTTTTCAACCGAAAATTCTCGGACGACTTACTCCACCAGCTGGTACTATTCAGAGTGCTTCACATGTTCGAATAAGCACTGTTCAACAAGCATATCCAAACCGGCAGATTCTCTTGTTTGTGATTGGCTGATCCATTTGTTTGGTTAAGTGGAAAATCGATAAAACTCTCATTACAGTCTAATTAGGCCCAACACAGAACTGAAAGTAATATTCACCAATAGGAAAGCTGATAGCATCACTAGCATCACTGCCAAAAAGTTCATTAGCTAAAATACAACCTTTTTTCTCTTAGCCAGGATGATCGTCACGACCATTCACTAAGGAACGGGCATTCGTACTAAGTTGTCAAATGTGCATTGTTTCATCACTAAATTCCTCTTTTATTTTCTGCTGATTTTAAGTCATTTTAATAGATTTTGACATCGAACACTCTCGAAAACTTAGGACTTCCTGATTATGTTGCACTCTTACGAATAGCCTTGGCTCCAACCACAATTGTGTACGTAATGATTGCACTACTGATTGTCAGTAGCTCGATTGTGGGCATTAAGTAACTCCGTCAGCTCTTTTGGTAGGAACTTCTAATTTGCCTTAGAGTTGATTTGTTTCCTTTAGCTCCTCGCAAAAGACACTTTCATCGTGTCTGAAGAAAAGGTGGTCAAGCGGCAAGGGACTCCTGTCTTGGTGTTCTGAGACTTTGACACTGAAACAGCAACATTTCAAAACTAGGGTAAGCGACCAACTCGATGGAACCCAAGCTGAAATTCGCACGCTTCTCCAGAGAGAGATGTTCCTGATGTTATTCGCTGAGCCGTCCATGAGTGATTTTTGATCTGACATCATTTAACCGCAGACGAAAAATCAAGCACTATTTTGGCTGGATCGATGGTGTTTGTCGTTGAGTGTGTAGTTGACTCTCAGAAAGCAAAGCCATACGGGGGCTGTTGTCCTTATGAAAATACACCTGGTGTGCTCATTTAGATCATTACCGCACCTTTATCACAATGTTGCTGTCAAACTATGTGTAGGATTCGTAATTTATTGAGGCTTCCGCAACGAACGACTTCTTCAGGCTTGAACCTTTCCTACTGCATCACACCCGCAACAAATATGTCAGTGTTTGCCGGAATCACGTAATTGGTACATTGATCCAGCTGATAATTGGCTTGCTTCAGTGCGTAGCTACCCAAGTTCCGAGGAAGCTGAGCATGCCTTCGCCTCCAAGGTCTTGTTTTATATTCCACTTTCCCGTTTTTCGGTGATCGAAACTGTGGCAGCTGGAACCAATATACCTATAGTACACAGTTTATAGCTGATAGATTGATCGATTGATAGGTTGATTGATAATTGGCTTGAGAAGGTAATGTACTTGCTTTCCAGATCTACGCTCTAAATGCGATCATGCGTGACGCCGAGCATGCCAACTACGAGGCATTTATCCAAAGCAAGCACGACGCCAAAGAATGCTGACAGAAACGGGAAAATTTTCCTCCTTATTCTTGCCATGTAAACCAGCTATAAAATTGTAAATTCAGGCATATTTTCTTATCGCTCTGAGTCTTTTCCAACCCAGTTGGATGTGCATTTCATGACGTTACCATTTCATTGGAGCTTCTGCAAAAAACCTAAGAATCACAAAGTATGCTTCAAAATAATTTAAAGACAATCAGATCGGTCACCGAACCCAGCTTTATGAAGTTTATTACCTTTCGCGCTGAAGAATGCCACCAACTCCCGGTACACTAAGACGACGGTGCAACTGAGCTCCAATTTGTACACACGAATCATATTGATGTAACCATGCAGTGCGCGACGCATATTATTACTCGTGGGCACCCAGGTGATACTGCGAGGTTGGAAGTAGGCCTCGAACCAAACAAATCTGGCGTACTTGAACTTCAGAAATTTTTCTGGCTGCCTATTTAAGTTTCAGGAACTCCTTAGCTGGTTCCCCAATTGTTTAGCAATTCGACGAAATTCTGCTAACCTTTGGTATTGGGCTAAGGGTACCAACCTGACCCCATCACTTATTCAAGTGCACTTTTCACCCACCAGGCTTGGTCGAGATGGGATAATCTCATACATACACACCCGAGCAGTTGCTAGACTGGGAATAGTAAAGGTCTGCTAATTTTATGAGTGCCCCGAATTTATAAAAGTCAAATCAATGGAGCCTTGGATGGAAGCCTCAAGGAGGTTCTTTTGATACTATATTTCCCATGTGTTCAGAAAGCGCGCCTGTGAGGTCTATCCCTACTATATTAAATATATATATTTAAATAAACGATGTTCGTGAATGTTGCGGAGAACTGACTGATCGATTAAAAGTGAGATTTGTCTTAACCTTTCACAACCACCGCAACGCCGGCTTAGGATGTTTTTGACGGCCGTAAATTTTGAAAATAATCTAATGCATAACAAAGCAGCAGATGCGCTCGTACTTTTCGGATGTCTCCTGAAGGTTAGATTAGACCAGATTCTAGTACCATCGACAGTTCACCGAAAAGTTTAGAACAAAGTTTAGAAAGTAAGGTAGCACAGCGAAGAGATCGTGTTCGCATTCATTCTATTTCACCGGCTGTGGGACATCCGTTATGGCTGCTCAGGCACCGCCGGCAGGTTCGGTAGAGCCTCAGAATCATCAATCTGCCAACAAACTACAAGTAATCAGCTTTACAAGAAGGTCTAGATGGTTCACAGGAATTGACATATAGGGAATACTGCGTACGTTTTTCTAAGTACAATAGGTTCCTTCTGAGGAGCCCTTCCACGGGGATCCAGTCTAGATCCAGTCTCCACAAAACTGGAGAATGTGGGTATCAAAATCGCATCAGAAAAAAGATCAGTGGACCCATATTACGGAAATGGCATCATCCTGGTATGTGTGCGTTTCTACTGACAGTCGGAGATGAATCCTCGTTTAAGCATGCAACGGACATTTTCAAGGTATAAAATCCCAATTCAGCAATCTCCAGTCTCATGAACTCCTTCGAAACTTGTTCTTGTTGCTAGCTGTTGCTGACAATTACCTACGCCGCGACAGATGAAGTCAGTGCACGCACCAATAAGACATGAGCAATATTCGCACGTGTGTGTCACCTTTGACTGAAGAAACGGACGTAGCTGAGGGTAAAGGTTGTGCCTACAGATCGACATTTGCAGAAGACTCCATCTGTGGCTATCAAACCTGGCCCTTCGGAATGATGACCATAAATATCTCCAAATATTTAATCACCGCTGTCTGCGTAGTAAAGCAGTCGTTAACTTGCTGCAGCATGTGCTTGAGGAAAGGGGGGGGGGTAATGAGTCGCGTTCGCACGAGTGGTAGAGGGGCTTATCAGATTAAGGTGACTGGGGCATGCAATACGTGTGCTGGATCATCGCCTGTCAACAAAGGTCTTCTTGATGAAAAGTTCGCAAAGGGCAGGCCACGATATGACACTGCGAAAGGAAGGCAGGTAGTATCAGGGTGAGCACTGTGGGGTCTTCGCGCCTCTGTCGGTGAGGTCCATACGACTATCCTTGTTCATGGTTAGAAACCTCACCGAACATGACGTTGGGGTGCCTAGCTAACGCTTCTCTGTCGTTCTGCTCTGAGTCTTGAATGAAAGTTGGGTCACTTCCAATCATGATGTCTTGCTCCTCGGAGTTGGAAGGTGTAAGCACTTTTCTGTTGGATGTTTTCTCTGTAAACTTACAATATTACTTCCTATCCTCTTCTATTTTACCATTTAGTCGGGCTTCCTTTCTACATGGTTTCATGGCAGTTAAGCAGCACACTGCCTATTACCGTCTGACTGTTAACAGAAGGTCATTCAATTGACTGGGGTCCTCATATGATACAGACGAATTGTTCTAAGTTGTCCTAGTTTCGAGAATGCCCGACATCTGTTGAGTGAGTCGCTTATTTGTAGTATAAACCAACATAGTGCCCGACGTGCACGAAGGCACAGCGCTCTTTGCTAATCGCAAACCCCGCGTTGTAACTACCCTTCACCAACTAAATATATCTGTCGGGCAAATATGCATAAATTGTGATTAATCTCTGTCAAACTACAAACAGTGTAAAAGCGCGTTTGGCCGTTTTGACCCTCTGTCTCTGAGTGACTGTTCGAGTGTTCCTTTCTGAACGTCATCCTGCCCTCATGTGTGTTGGCGTCCGAACACTGCAAAATCAATCTATGGTGAGAAGCCGGGATGTACTGTACAGCTGTTTTGTCTTTATTAGGAAACACCTCACGAAACTCGGAGAGTCTCGAACCGTTTTACTACGAGTGGCTGGACAGCTGTGTGACTATGTCTTACTCAGACCGGATATAGCGTCAATCAGCATTCAATCACAGAAACCATTTCATGTGGTCACATGTTTAGTGTCTCCTGGAGCGACGGATTCTCAGATAGAAGTTCCACACATCTTGTGGAATTATTCCAACTCTGAGCTACTTATCGACTGAGAGTAGTATGATGAGATTTGCGATTTTCAGTAGAGTCCTGGTTCTCTAAGTGACGAAAATGTGTGCGACGTTTACCACGAGCTTGCCTTACGGTGAACAACTGGTTTTTATATCTACTCTATCTTGTCAGGCGTCACACATTTGAACTGCGTCTCGAAGAGGACACTGGAATACACAAGACTGTATAAAGTACCTGAATCCAAATCAAGGTGTCACCCATTCACATTACTTGAACTCTTATGTGGAAGTCGCTGAGGGAATTCCCAAGTGACTTTACGGAACTTGTATGTACCAGCACAAATGTGACATTTATTGCCTAATGGTCTGCTGGGATGTCACTGATTGAAAAATCCCCGGATGTTTGGGCGATAGTTTCGTTTTTGAATGGAAAAAACATGGATGATCCGCTTAGCTGTCATACCCTCTGAAGGAGATACTGCCATGTTGCCCAAGCCTAGACCGCAGCAGTCGAGATGCAGAGGTTGGGTTTGAACCAAAAACTTTCCAGTCAGTAAGTTGGCTCTATAAGGACTGAGCTGTCCCGAACCCCAATCAATCCCGATTTCTCAACCTCACAATCTTAGTTTGAATAAATTCATTTACACAGACTAAGGTTTTCCAGCGAATTCGGAACCAAAGGAGTCACAAATCGTAAAATATCGCCCCAGACGAAGAGGAACAGATGAGCATATCCAAGTGTGTCCGTTACTATTTGGTTTGTACAATCAATCCCTTTGAACTAGACATGGAGCTTTGAACTAGCCGAGATGTTTGCCTTGTGTGTCCCAATGATTCTGAAGGTCGTTCTGACAAAAAAACTCAGTCCTATGGGCTCAATTTCGCCTACTAACGACACGCGAAGAGATGACGAGTAGTGAGACCTCATAGTGCCGTAGCAACCAACTTGGTTGAAATACTTCTAAAAGTCAACAGCCTCATGGGGCCGTCAACTCAACTGCTGTGCGCAGTGGCATTAGTAGTAAGACGTCCATGCCTTACCTTCTGCATCTTCGGGCTAGGTAAACCGACCACGGTTAAGTAACTCGGACCTTTGAGTCGTTGGCCTTAGGCCAACATTACCACCCGTTGTCCCGATCATGATGTTGAAGGTTCTAGTTTATAAACTCAGACCGGTCCAGTTCGGCAGCTCGGACAGTTGGAAACGAACCACTCTTTAAAACATCAACTATCTACAAACGTACTTTGATTACGGAGGAGGATTACTCAACAACTTTAGCCTGGATCCTGGAACCCTGGATCAGAGCCCTGTTGATGAGGAGAACAGTTAAAGCCTGAGTGGCAGATGGCACTTAGCTCCCGGCGTTTGTTGGTGGTTGGTCAGGTGGCCGCTCATCTATTCGCTTGACTTACCAATTGGCTTGGGGCGTTTCGTCATCAACTGAGGTGACATTATCAGTTCGCGCACTAGGCATTATCCGCACCCTGATGATGTCGACTTCAGTGGTGACGAAACGCTTGCAAACCATCTGAAGCTGAAGCCAGAATCACCTTCCTCTGTATAGAGGTGTCAAAAGACAGTAGATGAGACCTCACGGTTAGCGTCATATTGTCCAGGAACTTCCTTCCAAGAATCGCTGATGCATCAGTTCGAGTGTGATGCCAATTCAGATTCAGTTGAGGAGGGGTGTTTTGCTGTATTTACGGACACCTGTGTACCCACAGCACCTCAACTTGGGAAGGAAACCGGGCGAATTTTGCACTCCCTTGTTAAACTTTCTTCAGTCACTGCTAGCTCACGACCGCCTTCTACAAAGCCTGCTTGCCGACAGTTCCATAGCTTTTTCACAAACTTTTCTGCTCAAGTTTAAGAACATAAGTGTTCCCATTTGGTTGAGGTCCCCTTATAGTACGGGATGTGAAAAATACCGCGGTATCAGCCTGATGAAAGTCACAGCCGATTTGGTTGCCACATTGCTACTAATGTGCCTCAGCGAAGCAGGAAGTTTGCGAGACCGAGCCATGGAGGTACCTAATTTGGAAGACCATATGTTCACGGTTCTCAGTGTTTCGGGACAACGGTGCAAGTCGAAGCAACAAAACTCCACTCGTTTCGTTGACTTTCGTGCAGCCAAGACCAACGTCATGAACCAAATAGTTGTTCAGTTACCATCAGACTAATCATCTCCAACTCTACTCTGCATTAGGGCGGCCTCAGGGAATATTTTACCGTAGTACCCATCCAAACAGACGCGATATCACAGTGAGATACGAAGGAGTGGACAGTTAAACTGATGGTAAACAATTTTTCAGTTTTAGTCTTTATTGTTTTGACGTCATCTTTAGGTGACTTGCAAAACGACAATGCTAATTCGCGCGCACATTCTTTAACACTTGCATCGAGTGTTTGAAAACTTTACCACATTTGTCTGCACGCAAAGCGCCTTTGCCCGACAAGTTGCGTTCAGTTGTCTAGTGTTTCGCCAACTGCTGACTTGTCAGTTTGATGGGTAGGTGTGCATTTCCCGTCCGATGGTTTTGTGTGTTGTTCCGTGTTGCCAAAATGCATACTGTCCGTAAAGTGATATTCAGGCTTGTAATATACTACTTATAAGGTTGCTGAAAATCCATCGACAACCCACGACCGGTTTCACCCTTTTTGGGGCTCATCAGGTAGGCGTGATCCCCTGGAAACATCACGAACGATAGGTTCACTTGGGTTCCAGGTGGGTCTCTCGAAAAACCTAAATTAGTTTGCAAATGAGTGTATATTCGCTAATTTCATTCAATTTGGTTCGGTGGAAACCCGGGGACTGCACCTACCTGATGAGCCATAAAAAGGGCGAAACCGGTCGTTGGCTGTCGACGGATGTTCAGCAACCTTCTGAGTAGTAAATTACAAATATACACATGTATCGCGATATCTCAAATATCGTAGCGACTGAAACATGAGGCGGCCTGATGCAGCACATTCAGTTGCTTGAGAATATCACAAACGAGAGATTCAGCTGGGTTCTAGGTGCGTCTCTCGATAAACCAAATTAGTTTGCAAATGAGTGTATATTCGCTGATACTCAGAATTAGTTGGTCATATCGTCAAGTTGCGGAACGTCCTGACCTGAAAGCTGATACAGCAGTGACCTTGGATATTCTGTTAACCAAGGTGCCACTTGGAGCTCCCGTGTTCTTGGATCCGTATGATGACTATTCAAGGGACTCGACAAACACACTCATTTGCAAATCAGTTTGGTTTTCACGGGAGACTCAGGTGAATCCCTCGTTTATGATATCCAATTTGGGCTCAAGTATAACATAAGATTGACGGAATCTCTGGGACTGCGCCTGCCTGATGAGCTCCAAGAAGGACGAAACGGGTCGTGGGCTGTCGAAGTGCTTTCAGCAACCCTGTGAGTAGTTTTCTTTATTCAAGTGCATGTTCAGAGGCTTCATTCCGCTTAAATACAATCGCAAATTGTTGATCAGAGAGCGCTTGGTTGTAGGGGACATTTTCTACTTGGTACGTGGTAACCAAAACGTAGATCGGTACCGTTGCATCCTAAAAGCCCTAAGTACTCCTATTCTGTTAGTTAAATGAATCCCAACTTTCTTGCATTAAAGGTAGTTTCATTTAACTAACACTGATCCTATGTCAAAGGTTTCTTTCTTAAGAAGTTCGAAATTCGTCAGTTTGAATTTGTTTCTAAAACGTGTGCACATCTGGAATTTTTGTAGCCTCACAGGACTAATTAATGTAGAGAACGACGATTTCAGGACTAGTTAGAGACACATAGTTGAAGTACTGCCCTTCAATATGTTCACGTTTTCCTTCATGCTCCTAATGAGAAGCGAAATACCGCGATAAGCCACACTTTTAGGTGTGGTCTAAGAACCTAACAGATACACGTTACTAACATTTATCAGACACCTTGGCGTCAGGTTAAACAGATATTGTAACCTTGCCAGATTGTCTCCTCATTAGATGCATTGAAGGTGATAACACACAGTCTTTCGCGACATGGGTGCATGATTTGTGCGGAGCGGTTTTTCGAGCGACAAGACGGGGTGGTTTCATAAAGGTGATGGTCCAGTAAGTAGGACGCTTTATTAGTTCAACACCAAAGATAAGTGATCTACAATTTATCGAGGGTCACTGACCTGAATTAGGGTATATAACAAGTGCTGTCCACAGCTGCTGCTAGTACGAAAATGCACTTACCGATACTCCCTGTGGTTTCGCTCATTCTCCTGTCTCTTGCACGTAAGTTCTCCACCTTGCTCACACTGAACAACAACTAACGAAAATCATATTCTTCCAGTCACTTCGGGGAAGGGAGGTTTTCCGAAGCACGAGGTAGGTTTCAAATTTGTTAATCTCTCACTTTTACCGTCTGGTTAGCATGGAGGTCCGGGAAAGAATAAGAACAAAGGCGGGTTGATACCACCTTCTGGCGGGAGTAAGTGATTTCCAAGTGATGTGCTCCCAGTTTCTGAGCAGTCGTTGATACTAAAACTCACCTTGCCTCACCTTTCGTTCGTGTAGATTTCACCAAACCACCAAAGAATCAAACAGTAAAGGTATGCCCACCAGAGTGAAGTATAGATTGTTTACCAAGCCCTTCTAAAACGATGACTTCTTCGTCAGTGACAAACTTTTCATATTGATTAAAGTAACTTACTTTCATTCCCAGGGTCAAGGTGAAGTAGAACATGGAAAGCACAAAGGTAGTACACGGCGAATAACTCATTCTTTTCAACGAATTTCCTTTTGACACATGTTTTCTGTGGTACTTGTAACACATTTTGTTGTCCCTAACGCAGGTCAGAAAAAAGAACATAACGTGACAACCGTGGTGAGTGCCTAAAATTCGCATATGGAACGTATACTACAAAGTGGCTTATTCTACCACGCGCATCCTTAGTCCATTGGTATGAGAAGGCACTTGGGCGAACCTCTCCGTTTCCACTTGATAGACCTAATGTGTCCGATAATTCAGGGGATCAACGACATTTTGATCAGCAAATTCAATTAACTAGACATTCTTCATTGAAAAAGTATCACGAATAACAAAAGTGGTGAGCGAATACATATTCTGTCTAGAGCAAATTCTACTATACTCAGAGTAAGATTAGATTAGACCCTGTAAAAAATCACATCTCACCGCAAAGTCACTCTGAGAACAGTAGTTTGTAACCTCTTGAGCTTTCTTAATCCCGTAGCTTGTAGGTTCATCCGTATCTGTACCACACGACCTTGAAAAAGGCCGCGTGTCACTTCGACGGCGAGCTTACAAGACAACCAAGATATACGGTGCTACGTCAATTGTGAAACATCAAAATCATGAGTTTATCACTTTGACATTCCACCTTTTTCAGTATCCATGAGCTTTGTTCATTCATTCATCGTGAGATTTTTTGTTGTCGAAGCTTCAGTGTTGGTTTACGGAAGCACTTCTTCGGTTTCCGAGAAACCACTTGATTTCTCCTTATTTTTTTAGTCGAGCTTTTGTCTCGTTAGTGAATTCAATCTATGTTGAGATACCAAGGAGCACGGTACAGTCGTTTCCTGGGAATTTTCAGCAGGGGACACCATACGAAGGTCCAAGGGTTTCGAATCCGTGACATTCGGGTCATGTTTTTGAAACCTACCGGTTATGTCACGGGCAGTTGGTCAGCAGTGTGATTAGCTCTCGGAGTAGCGCCACTCATCCGCCACCCACAGAAACCATAGACACGGCCAAATATTGATTGGCTTTTTAAGTGACCACTTTTCAGATGGAAATTCCACCCATCCCGTGAAATCCTTCTTCCTCTGAGCTACCTATAAATTCTTGGTAGTGTGGGATCAGTTGATCAATTGATCCATTAAGCTAATCCATGCTGAAACAGGGTGTTTACCTGCTTTATGCTCTGTGCTTTTAATCTACCGAAGCCATGAGGTTAGCTTGCGAGTGTATGGATGATGTACTGCTCGGATAAGGGGAAATATATTTCCAGAAAAGACGGTAGGCGTATATCAACCCGATCAAAGACAACCAATGTTGCCATGCAAGTAAGTGTAGCTGGTATGGTCTGCGACGAATCTGAAGCGTAGGTACTTCATAACCTTGGTCTTTGCACCCAAACTAAGCGGACTTGTATGCTCGTTCTCATTGTAGTACCCTCGCTCAAATGGCAATTAATTTCATTTGTAGGATATCAGTAAGACCTCCTGAGGTAAAGACACTGGCCACTTGTGACGATCTTAAACGTCATCTGTACGTCAGGTAATCAGTACACCTAGGAATCTAATTTACCTTTGCTTGTGAGGAATTTCAACCGAATTTTAGTAAAAGACCCAGTTTCTGGATTTTGCTCAGAAAATGTCAGCATGGTTTGAACCTGGTGTGATGCTTACTCCATTTAGGAGTCAATAGTTCGTCCTCTCAGACGGAAAATGAAAGTTTGTTGTACAAGCAATGTTTCCCAGTAAGGTGACAAGAATAGTCGTAGGTAGTGATTGGACTTGTGGACTTTTTATTCACCTTACTTTCTTTTGAGTAGTTTTCCTTTCAACCTGGCATAGGTGTTCTGTTGTCTCCACATCAAATAGGAGAGGTACCTGACTCGATTTTTGACCTTATTGGGGTTCATTAGCAGTGAATATCCTTGATCGTGCCAGAGTATGAACTCCAGATATCTGACATGGAAAGCGCACGCTTGACGCATCTGAAAGTTCATGTCCGACCAAGCTAATGTTTTCACGGTAACTGGTTCACCCGATGCCTGAAACAAGGACCCGTTGGCTAACCTCGTTGTGTTGGTTGTTTGAACTGCCTGTCAGAACTTTCTAGTCAGGTGGCATCACGAGCACTTGAAAAAAGATGGACAGCTGAGGAATTTGCAGTTTGAGCAGTGCTGTTTCTAACAGCATGAACTTGGGAACTGACAGTCAGCGTTGAGATAAAACTTTTTACAAGTAAACTACTGTTATTCGGTCTAGATGTTGATATGATTTGAAAAGATCTTTCAAAAAGCATGGGTTTTTAACTTAAGTGAAGTTTCAATGAACTAATTTAAAGCAACACTAGTACTTTATAAATTTTGGCCGAATTACGGATAGTTGCTGTTTTGGGTTTTAACTACCGGAATACCGGTGTAACGGTGATATTACTGATGGGGAGGAACGTGAGTAGTGTGTGTTGTTCGTGGAATTTCGCTTTGCGTCTCTGGAAAAGGGGATATCTGTTGCGAAATTTGTGGAGTAGCTTTGTAACATTTGCTTGGATTTGAGCGATGATTGATTGGAGTCAATGAATATTCAGAAAAGTTCAAGAAGGCACGTTCAGGAGAAGATGGATGTCCGGTTTTTGTAAATAAGATGCAAATGAGAGTTTTGCTGCCCTGTTCAATGGTCTGTAACCTGTCAGTTGGCACTCCCCGGCGAAGTCCTCATTCTGGACTTTTGACAAACTCTTTGTTGTGTGGGTTCGAACTCCAATGCTGTTTTGTGGCTGCATAGGAACCCTGTTTGGCTTATCTAATTGAATCCTGCATGTTGTCAATTCCACATGAGTTGTAATCCCTGATATTAGATGTGAATACAGTGTAATCAAGTTTCAGGGTGGGTTACTTGCTCAGGATGTGCAATAACTTGATGCTTTTGTTGTGATGAGTTGTTGAACAACAGCAAGTCGGAGTAGATCCATGTAAATGCTTACGCGAGGTAACTCATACTTGGCTTTGAACCCGCTTATCTCATAGATGTCCGTTTGTCTAAAGTTCTAAACTTGATGAAAGAAGTCCAGTTGTGGCTTTATTACGTGTGGAACCTTTTTGCCACAACGGCAAACACCTCATCTTGTCTCTGTCAGAACTATCGACCAACTGGCTGATTGATGGATTCGTGGGCATCCTCAAACATTTTTTAGAGAGGTTCCTTGTTCCATACATGATGAAATGACAAATGAATCCACAATTAGGAGGAGGCAAAAGGTTAGTTAGTATTCAGCAATTTCTGTTTGTATTGTTCTTCTCCAGCAAACATCGCTACCACCGCCAACACCACCTCCACCGACTGAACTTCCTCCAACCCCAACTCCACCGACTGAACTTCCTCCAACCCCAACTCCACCGACTGAACTTCCTCCAACCCCAACTCCACCGACTGAACTTCCTCCAACCCCAACTCCACCGACTGAACTTCCTCCAACCCCAACTCCACCGACTGAACTTCCTCCAACCCCAACTCCACCGACTGAACTTCCTCCAACCCAGCCGGCGAACGAGGCCACTGAGCCCGGTTTAAACCCTCCTCGTGAGTAGAATTTCATTGACAGGTTCTTTGATGAATTAGTAGCCTGGTAGTAGGTAGTCCGTCACTCACTCATTTCCATACAGGAATACTAATGGACAGACTAATCCTAACATCAACTCTTTGTCTGTCTTTTAGAACAACCTTCAGCGACTCTTGCTTTAGCGTATTGAATATCCGAACGTTCCATGATGTCAAACTGGCACAAGCCGCTTGATGAGAACTCACTAACTGTGCGCTCTTCATGTATTGATTTATTGTCAGTTCACTATCGATGTACATCCGAAATACTCCTTTGTTAACCAACCAATACAACGTGTGCACTTTTCACCGCAAGCTCCTGCAGTCGTAAAACAAATAATGTGTTGAACGTACGAATTAAAAAAAACGCCGCTTTGCTTGACTATTGTTTTAACCAAACTAGAGGATATTTCGAGTTGCTTATTCTGTAGCAAGAACTTGGGAGAAATACAACCAAATCGGTAGTTTTTATAAACCCGAATTCTAGAATTGACTCCAACAAGTGGGAGAAACCCCGTTGAACCTTGGTGTTTGAGGTTTATTTGGGTCACTGTGACGTTTCAAGGGCGATACGATGAAAGATGGGTAAATTCTTCAAGATTGTTTGCCTTTTCACTTCCGGTTTGGGGGTTTGGGTTGAAATCGGGTGAATCTATTTCAGCTACAGGCGCTCATCGTCCATGGGGTTATGGAATTAGACCCGCCGATCATCCATGGTTTTTCTTCATGATATACCAAACTGACGGCGACTTTGTTCTGCATTTCCGCTGACACATAAAATGTGACGATAAAAATGCATGCAAGGTAAACCGTGAAATGAATGGATAAACAGTAATTACATCTTGATGGAATCAGGCGTTTACTTAGAAATCGACATTTCTTTTTGGAGTGGCAGCTGTTTTTCAAATAGTGGCAGGTAAAATGAAGATAACAAAAACAAGGAGGCATGGGATTGTCATATTTGAGGCACGTTTTTCTGGAGAATGCTCGGAGTGGTCGGGGATTAAGCTGGTTTAGTCAGTTCGACGAGATCTAAAAGCCATAAAGAAAGTTGATGCGTTGAGAACTCTGTGGATTGGGGGATCCTTTTGGTGGAATCATAAGGGAACCTCACTGACACAAGACCAGCTGAACCCTTCGTCTGACAGGCTTACAGATCGAACTTGCTCTAAAGAACCAGGAGGGCATCGAGTGATCGCAAGTATGTGTTTTTGAAGAAAGCACATATGCAAAAGGTGTGTAGTACAGTAGTATCTCTTCAAGCGTGTTATAGTACGGAGCAACATCAAGTAACTAAACGAATTTCAGTCATCGGGATATCAGAAGCAACTCAATCACCAGGAGAGTATCAATCAGTCTGGTATCTGTTTACATATTTATGCTTTCCATTTTCTGATAGCCGCAGGAAACCGCAGCAATGCACCGTTTGTGGAACACGGCTGCTGTATCTAGGCATGCTTGGTTTCGGGCAGATGGCTGGTTATCGATGAAGTCACTCTCAACCTTGCATTCGCTTCCATTTACGCTAACCTAGTAAACGAACCTACCGGGCTGCCAAACATTTTTGTCGTATACGACTTTAACCGAACCTCAATGTGTGCTGTCAAAGCCTCACTGTATCAATAAGCCATCTGTAGTTCCATTAACCGTTTATTTGATTGTACTCAGTTGTGCGACTTGGCAGGAGAGAGTGACACTTACACAGCTGGGAATGAATCACAGTGCCTTATCATACCAAGAAAAGAGTAAACTTCAACTAGCGTCGGGAAGTTCAAAAGCCTATCGTTTACTTGAAAGTGCGCGTTGTTTCAATTCAGCAGGTTGCTTGTTGATCAGGTGGCCGTCGGTCCGTTCGCCGAGCTTGGCAATTGGCTTGCGAACGCTTTGTCACCATACGAGGAGACATCATCAGTGCGCAGTTGGGTGGGTACTTCTTCCTGGCCTGCGTGCGTTTATGTAACATTCGAAGGCTATGTGCTATATTCTGGCGTGATTGGCTACTTGAAGTTTACCGAATTTTGAGAATCCATTGGTCCGTTTCTGATGTATGTTGCTTTGTGGTGATTGGTTATCCCAAAATAGGAAAGCGCATTATTCAAACGGACATATCAGTTGGATTAGGGTAGCGCCCAACCGAAGCACCAAATAAACCGAGGACACTAACCGCCACGGTGGAGGAAATAGGGTGGTACAAGCAACCAATCAAACTCGAGAACGTCAGACCACAGCGCAATGCGAATCAGCGCCAAAGAGAACAAACTACTAAAAACAGAAGGCGCTTGGATAACCAACCAACACAACGCAACAAAGATTGGAAACGGACCAATAGATTCTCTAGATTCGGTAAACTTCAAGTAGCCAATCACATCAGAAGATAGCACATACTCTTCGAATGTTACATAAACGCACGCAGGCCAGGAAGAAGTACCTACCCAACTGCACACTGATGATGTCTCCTCGTATGGTGACAAAGCGTTTGCAAGCCACTTGCCCAACTCGGCCAACGGACCAACAGCCACCTGATTAACAACCAATAAACTCACCCGAGCTACCAATATTTCAACATAGTACCAATTCAGCAGGTGCCTTTCACACCCCATACAGGACAACGAACCATAAGGCGCTGTAACTTTGTGAATCCATTGTTATCGGAAGAGGAAAACCAGAGATGTGTGAATAAAAGGAATCGGTCAAGCGGTTGGTGCCAGTTGCAGTTTTCATAGTGACAGTAAACCAAAAATCGGCTACCTAACCCGTGGTATTTGCTTCACTAGATCTTTCAGCCTAGTGAATTCGGTGCGGAGTCAATCGCAGAATGGAATAACCAGAATAGCATTTGGCCTGCACCGACACAGACCTGTTCACAAAAAAACACTACGACAGAATAAACTACCTATTTCATTATTATCCTGCTGGTGCCTCACGATAGACCAGTGAGAACAAGCTCTCTTCATGATCAACTTTTGGGAACTCCTACTCGGGTCATCCGTATTCATCAGCCGAATGCATCGTTCCACGGCATATTGAATTAGCACAACGAGTGTGAGACTCTAAAACCGGCCGCACCGTTCTAGTTTGTATATTAATTCACAAATTCACAGCTGATTGTCAAATTATTGACTCTTGATGTCCTAATCAGTCTATTTTAAGATCACTTTGAATAGATGTCAATCCATTTATATTTGATCGACTTTTCCGTTGTATCTAATTGTGGAGAGAGCTCGCTCAAAATTTGTGAAAGTGATTGAATCACCTGTTCTCAGACATTAAGGAAGTAAAAGAGAAATGCGAGCAGGCTGACAGTCGACTCTGATACATAAAGTGCTTAAAATAATGTAGAGTTTGTTCATACTTCACTGCCATTACCAAGTCTTCCATTTCTGTCATCGACTGAGATGATAAATTTATTTAAATCAGCTGCTGTGCCTCCTTCATCATCGTCCACACTCCATCAATGTGGGATCCACGCACTGTGTGCGCCTTCGGTTATTTTTGTCAAGGAGACGAGGTCACCACAGAGCCAATTTCAGAAAAACTCTGTTGCTTTCCGTAATAGGAGAGGGTTGTATCCAGAGCCCAGACCATAGACCCCCAGTACAACGGTCTGCGTTTGACGGACAAGGAATACCGAAAACTGGGCCACTTGCCCAAACTGCTAATCTGTACACTTATTGCTTCATCAATACAAAGTAGCGAATGTTCTTCCAACCAGCTTCTGGTCTATCCACTCAAGGTAAGTAAAGATAACTCCACCAAATATCTACACTCAGGGAAATTGCTCCCAAATTCGAGACTATTTGCACATCCGCATCAGAGTACAGCTATAACGTTTTGAATTCCTATCAGAAAGATCAGAGCCCTGAAAGTAGCCTCAGAACACATGGAACCAAATGCTCCACCAAAATCTCAACAGGAAAGCCGGCAACCATCAAGGTCAGTCAACCATTCAATCAATTCAGCAAAACCTGATAAGTGTTCGTGCACGCCACAGAAGCACGACTGAATGTGATCCAGCGTTCAGGCATATCATAGAGGCACGATCGATGCTGACGAGTGTTCACTAAAGCCTATCAGACAGCCTGGATCAATTTCAGAAAGTCCCCTCTAAATGGTGTGGGCCCGTTGTAAATTTGCTCTTGCACTCGTACGCACTCACGCTCTCGCAATCGCTTGTTCGGAATATAGCTGTTGTGTCCTCTTCCGTGAGTCTTTTTTCTCCGGCACCAGGCACTGGAGCGGGTTAGCAGCAGATACCACAGGTCAGCGAAGCAGTTCCTTCCATATTTTGTGAAATTCGATGACAAGCTTGTATCCCAAAGGACATTATCATTCGATATTGAGCTGAGTGTAACATGTGGCCTTGGTGAGACGCTTTCTTTTCTCGATATCATGCACCAAAGGTCAAGTTCTGCTGATAAGTTTATCGAAGCAAATAATGCTGAAATTTATGAAGAAAACAACGTTCAAACAATAAAAGATTTTGCAACCAAACTAAGCCATTCTGAAAACGAGAAGCTAAAAACTAATTTCCAGGTTTACTGCAAACGCAAAACTAAGTATTATGAAGCATTGTGAACTGAGTTATGTAA